CCATCAATCTTGTAGAAAGTACAGCATAGGGCCGTAGAAGTGGCTTATATACTGTAGTCAGGTGAGGCAAAGCAGGAGGAGGCGGGGTCTGAACCAAGATGCCCTCCATTGAGCAACTTTACCAGCAGTTTAAGGAGGAATTGAGGGTAGCGAAGCTAGAGATACGGCGACTGACGGAGGAAAACAAGAGGATTCGTAGTAGTCCTCCTGTTGAGTCCTCAGGTTGTTATATCTTCGAAATTGGTCATCCTGTGTTATTTAACTATTGTAAGAGAAAATGTTCATCACTTAATATTATAGCGCGAAAGTCCCCATTTATAGCTAAAATAGAGACTTTCGGCTTTATATTATTATCTGTTAATATATGAAAAATACCATGGTATTATCACTATTTTGTTATTATCACTATTTTGTTATTATCACTATTTTGTTATTATCACTATTTTGTTATTATTATTGTTAGGTAAGATTTTTCGTGTATATAGAGTTTAAGTCTCGGAACCATCCGGTGAATTGTTCAATTGTTTACGTCCGGCTGGCTGACGTTTGTGTCAGCTGATCCAACCTGACGACGCATCAACAGACTGGCAAGTAGTCAGTCTGCTCCCTGCTCTAGCCCTGACAACTGATCGTATATTGGCTCTTACGGTGTACAGTTTGAATGGTTTTGAGAATTTGACTCTAGAGCTGACTCAGTTTGTTCCTCATTGCTCTGAAAGATTCTTTTGATATTTATATTCTTGGTCAGTTCAGTAATCCATAGAGATACTTTACGGCCAGATTCAAAGGTCTTGTTAAATCTTGTACCTTTTGTATTTTGAGTTTACAGTCTTGTTAAGACAAAGACGTAAATGTTAATGAAGACTTAATTACAGGAAGAATAATTAAACTTCCTTATTAATGTGACATTTCCATGATTTTGAACTAAATGTATATGGTAAATTTATTGTACAAAGTATTAAGTTACATTAACTACAGAGAGAAGATAAAGTATTGTATTTAAATACTTTAATAAATTTGAATATTATTCTATGGAGTTTCCCAGTTGAAATTATTTCCCCTAGACTCTAAAATACCTTTAAATAACTCGGATCCAAAAATCTTGTTGAATAAGAAATAAATGGTAACAGGCCACATTCTGAAGTTCTTTAAAAAAAATTCTTATTCGCAACAAGGTCAAGAAGGGAACCTGGGCAGTGGCCGGACAGCATGGAACGAAACTGAAGTTCAAGAAGAGGAATAGAGAGGTAGAAACGATGAAGACGAAAGAGACTGCTGTGGAAACTGTTGTGGAAACACTGAACACATTCTCCGTGCTACCCACCCGATGAATGCGAGTCGACTACTGGGAACGTCACGACGAACGACACCAAGGTATAAACGTTGTTGTTGGGGATAGCCAGGTTAGGTATATGGATAGGGCCTTCTGCTGGCAGGGTAGGAGTAGGAGACAGAGGGTTTGCTTTCCTGGGGCTGGGATGGAGGATATTGTTAGCTGGCTTGACAACATCATGAACGGTAATGGGATCAATCCTATTATCTGCCTGAGTGCTGGAGGCAATGATGTAGGCAAGAGTAGAAGTGAGGATTTAGTTAGAAGGTACAAGACAGCAATAGACATAATTAGAAAAAAGGGGGGCACCCTGTCATATGTGGCATTTTGCCAAGAAGGGGTGTTGGAAATGAATGGTTGTCCAGAGCAATTGGTATTAATTGTTAGCTGGACAAACACTGTAAGGATAATGCAGTAACGTTCATTGACAACTGGGACCACTTCTACGATAGAAATGACATGTATGCCAGGGATGGGGTTCACTTATCCATGGCAGGCGTGGGTTTTCTTGTTGGCTCAATTGTGGGTGTTGTTAGGACTTTAAACTAGGATTAGTTAGAGGTATGGGTTTAGAAATGGAAAATAACGAGTATGGATATATTGACTTAATCTTTGACATTATCAATCTTTAAAAGTCGACTCATCACACAAAATAAACATCTGCAAATATATATATATGCAAAACAACCACTGTGAAAGAGTAGAGAAATTCCAAGCGCTTTCGTGACTACTCACATTATCAAGGAACAATGAAAGTAAAGCATCAAAGGAGGGTATATAAAGGGGTAGCCCACACCTCACTATCAGATCCCACAACAAAGAAACACCTGACACGCGACTCATAAGAAAGGGAACACTGCAGCAGGCCTGCCGACCCAACTAGACAGGTCCTTCACATAACCCACCAACAAACTATTCTACCCAAGAAATAAGAATTTTAAAAATTATTATTTGTCCAATGTATTATTAAATTCTTCCCAAATTCTATTAATTATAAATGGATTTAATTTATATAAACCAAAGGAAATATTCATATTATTGTCAAGACTGCTTTTTATGAAACAAGATTCAATTATATTCCTGTCGACCATGGACTTGCTTGATACTACTTTCTCAACTTTTTGAAAATCAATTGGATGGTTAAAATCTCTTAATGAATAAATAGAGCATTGGAATCTTGTCCAGTTCTAATGCTATGTTTATGTTGTTTTAATCTTAGTTCGAGATTTTTACCAGTTTGACCGTAATAAACTTTATCGCAAATTTTACAAGGAATCTTATAGACACATCCATCAGCATTTTGGGGGGAATTCTTTATCAAAAGTTTTTTTTACTGTATCAAGATTTTTGAATACAACTTTAATATTAAAAGTCTTAAGAAGAGAAGGCATATCAACAAAGTTTTCATGGTAAGGGAGAACCAACATATTTTTAGTTGAATAAGGCTGGTTGTCCCTTTTTGGATTGTAAAAAGTATTTCTAGCAACTTTAAAAGATTTACCAATTACATTTCTTGGGCATTTCAAATCATTACCTATTTCATAATTTTTGGATATTTCCTCATCAATGAACTCTGTACTACAAATTCGTAAAGCTCTCAAAAACATTGATGAGAAAACAGACAGTTTAACTCTATCTTGATGCGAGGAATAATAGTGGACATAGGAACAGTTATTTGTAGGTTTTCTGTAAATTTTAAATTTGAATTCATTATTACCCTTAATAATTAAAACATCTAGAAAAGGCAATGAGTTATTTTCTTCAAATTCAACAGTAAAGTTATGCCCAAAAATGTAGATATACACCATTTCCTTGGCAAATTAAATAGCTTAGCCCATTCTATAAACTTTACTGTTGAATTTGAAGAAAATAACTCATTGCCTTTTCTAGATGTTTTAATTATTAAGGGTAATGAATTCAAATTTAAAATTTACAGAAAACCTGCAAATAACTGTTCCTATGTCCACTATTATTCTTCGCATCAAGATAGAGTTAAACTGTCTGTTTTCTCATCAATGTTTTTGAGAGCTTTACGAATTTGTAGTACAGAGTTCATTGATGAGGAAATATCCAAAATTTATGAAATAGGTAATGATTTGAAATACCCAAGAAATGTAATTGATAAATCTTTTGAAGTTGCTAGAAATACTTTTTACAATCCAAAAAGGGACAACCAGCCTTATTCAACTAAAAATATGTTGGTTCTCCCTTACCATGAAAACTTGGTTATGCCTTCTCTTCTTAAGACTTTTAATATTAAAGTTGTATTCAAAAATCTTGATACAGTAAAAAAAACTTGATAAATAATTCCCCCCAAAATGCTTATGAATGTGTCTATAAGATTCCTTGTAAAATTTGCGATAAAGTTTATTACGGTCAAACTGGTAAAAATCTCGAACTAAGATTAAAACAACATAAACATAGCATTAGAACTGGACAAGATTCCAATGCTCTATTTATTCATTGAGAGATTTTAACCATCCAATTGATTTTCAAAAAGTTGAGAAAGTAGTATCAAGCAAGTCCATGGTCGACAGGAATATAATTGAATCTTGTTTCATAAAAAGCAGTTTTGACAATAATATGAATATTTCCTTTGGTTTATATAAATTAGATCCATTTATAATTAATAGAATTTGGGAAGAATTTAATAATACATTGGACAAATAATAATTTTTAAAATTCTTATTTCTTGGGTAGAATAGTTTGTTGGTGGGTTGTGTGAAGGACCTGTCTAGTTGGGCCGGCGGGCCTGCTGCAGCGTTCACTTTCTTATGAGTCGTGCATCAGGTGTTTCTTTGTTGTGGGATCTGATAGTGAGGTGTGGGCTACCCCTTTATATACCTTCCTTTGATGCTTTACTTTCATTGTTCCTTGATAATGTGAGTAGTCACGAAAGCGCTTGGAATTTCTCTATTCTTTCACAGTGGTTGTTTTGCATATTCTGAAATCACCTGTTTACTGTGATCTTATTGCATATATATATATATATATATATATATATATATATATATATATATATATATATATATATATATATATATATATATATATATATATATAATAGGCATTATGCATAGGTAATGTTTTTTGGTGTGTACAGTGTCAAGACTGATGCGCCTCTCCCAATACCCCACCAAAATGCATCATAAACATGCATTTCTTCCCGATATAAACAATGAAACAACTTACAAAATTCTTACCTACTGAATGACATATAAAAAAAATATTTCTCACCAGTTTATATATAACCCACATATTGGATCGAAAGTTATAAACATTTATGTCCACCCTGAGCTATTATCTACTGAACAGGATGGCCAAGGAGGGACCGAAACGTCATCGTGAGTGGCGTCTACCAATCGAGTCCTTTTGTGAATTGTGTGAAAAAACACACGTACAGTTCAGGATATTTATAATAGAGGAAACATTTCACCACGGGTGGCTTCTTTCCTAAGAAGAAGCCATTCGTGGGAAACGTTTCCTCTAAGTATCTTCTTCCACAACTTGTCGGTATCACCATACCATTTTTCTTTTATGAATTGTTCCTGCCACGGTACCGTGACTTTTCATTCTCTGTGAAACTGAAACTAAGGAAGGCTGGTTCAACATGCCTTGAGAGCCACAGTAGTCAGAAGAGACGAGGATGTGCACCACCTTACCGTACCTCTCTTACGGCGGAGTCCTGTGGAAAACGTAAACAAAAGAGTGAAAACCGTACTCTGGAGGACGTCAGGAGGAACTCAGACTGTGAAAGATGTTCAGTATATGCTGACACGTGCAAAATTTGAAGACATGGAGTAATTATTTGAAAGAAAAACGAAGTTTCTCTCATTAAGAGCTTTATATAACTCTGAGGGAAACGTCGTTTTCTCAGAATAAAGGCTCAAGTCTTTAATTTAGCAGATCAACAGACTGGCACCCAGCAGCTAGAGTACAAAGGGGTGTGAAAGCTATATATTAGCATGTAAACAAAGCTAATCTACCATGGTGCCACTTTGTAAATACTGGAGGTGTGTGTGTGTGAGTGTGTGTGTGTGTGTGTGTGTGTGTGTGTGTGTGTGTGTGTGTGTGTGTGTGTGTGTGTGTGTGTGTGTGTGTAATAGTGTCATCAACGCAGAATTGCTTGACAAGTTTGTAGCCACTTATTTAGATATATTTTCACATTATTATTATTATTCTTATTATTATTCATTTGCAAGTGCTAACGCCTTAATGACGGACCTAAACGTCGTCTAATTCTCGCGTCCAATTCGATAGTAGTGAATTGTTCCAACCACGGTGCTGCGAAATTAATTCCTTTTTTGATTACACCATTATTACATTCAGCGAACACCAAGTGGACGACACTCTGTATGTTAAAAATGTAATCACAGGTTCAATTATAATTACTCTCATGAAGAGATTTGAACATCCACATGCAGATGAGGCATACTAAAATATCGGTGGTTCCATCCCCAGCTAGTAGCAATATTATTTGCCCAAAACCACAGAGGGGGTGGAAATCTTTAGCTCAAGTACTTTCACACTTCTCAGTGCGTCATCAGGAGCTATGCAATGTTGCAAGGTTGCAACTGAAGGAGTGAGAGGAAGCTTCTTCTCAAAACAGCGCAGAGTGGGCCTGTCGCCTCCTCCTCCTGGCTCATAATATATATATATATATATATATATATATATATATATATATTATATATATATATATATATATATATATATATATATAACACATGAGGTCAAGGTTTCACTATGAGAACGTTTCGTTCTGAGATGAGCTTTTCTCGAGTGAGTTGGAGAAACTTTTCAACTGACTGAAACAATCTGACAATATATTAGTGCTGTGTTAGGTGTGTCTTGTTCCTCTTACAGATTTTCCCAACAGTTTCTAAACAGTGTCGGTTTAACAGTCACTAAAGACTAAACAGTGGCACTATAACAGGCGCTAAACAATGCCAATTTAAGTGACAAGATCAATTTTAATGGGCGAGACACTTACGTATGACGTCACAAGTATACAAGTGTCGGTCAAAGTGTTTTAAAAGTGGACTTCAGATCAAGATCTACCGAAAAAAGCAACGTAACCTTCATACGGTATACATCACACATGAACCAACATGAACTTCATACACTATACAATATGTATGAAGCAACAAACAATCCCATACAGTGTGTATGATGTAGTATTCATACCAAAGAAGCAACATATTGTTTTAAGTTAATCACCACGGAATAAAAACAATGAAATAAAGAAAATTTCTGAGCGTAAGTTTCTTTGAGTTTATTAGATGTGGAATTGTAATGTTTACCCTCGAGCTCTGATATAACTGTGACGGGTTTCCAGAGGTTTTCTACTCCCGGAGTGCGACCCCTGGACCAGGCTCGTCCGGTGCTTCCAAGGTCAACCAGGTGTGTGGTGGTGAGGATGTGTAGGAATGTGGTGTGTGGTGGTCAGGATGTGTAGGAATGTGGTGTGTGGTGGTGAGGATGTGTAGAAATGTGGTGTGTGGTGGTGAGGATGTGTAGAAATGTGGTGTGTGGTGGTCAGGATGTTTAGGAATGTGGTGTGTGGTGGTCAGGATGTGTAGGAATGTGGTGTGTGGTGGTCAGGATGTGTAGGAATGTGGTGTGTGGTGGTCAGGATGTGTAGGAATGTGGTGTGTGGTGGTCAGGATGTGTAGGAATGTGGTGTGTGGTGGTCAGGATGTGTAGGAATGTGGTGTGTGGTGGTCAGGATGTGTAGGAATGTGGTGTGTGGCGGTCAGGATGTGTAGGAATGTGGTGTGTGGCGGTCAGGATGTGTAGGAATGTGGTGTGTGGCGGTCAGGATGTGTAGGAATGTGGTGTGTGGTGGTCAGGATGTGTAGGAATGTGGTGTGTGGTGGTCAGGATGTGTAGGAATGTGGTGTGTGGTGGTCAGGATGTGTAAGAATGTGGTGTGTGGTGGTCAGGATGTGTAGGAATGTGGTGTGTGTGGTGGTCAGGATGTGTAGGAATGTGCTGTGTGGTGGTCAGCATGTGTAGGAATGTGGTGTGTGGTGGTCAGGATGTGTAGGAATGTGGTGTGTGGTGGTCAGGATGTGTAGGAATGTGGTGTGTGGTGGTCAAGATGTGTAGGAATGTGGTGTGTGGTGGTCAGGATGTGTAGGAATGTGGTGTGGTGGTGGTCAGGATGTGTAGGAATGTGGTGTGTGGTGGTCAAGATGTGTAGTAGGAATGTGGTGTGTGGTGGTCAAGATGTGTAGGAATGTGGTGTGTGGTGGTCAAGATGTGTAGGAATGTGGTGTGTGGTGGTCAGGATGTGTAGGAATGTGGTGTGGTGGTGGTCAGGATGTGTAGGAATGTGGTGTGGTGGTGGTCAGGATGTGTAGGAATGTGGTGTGGTGGTGGTCAGGATGTGTAGGAATGTGGTGTGGTGGTGGTCAGGATGTGTAGGAATGTGGTGTGGTGGTGGTCAGGATGTGTAGGAATGTGGTGTGGTGGTGGTCAGGATGTGTAGGAATGTGGTGTGTGGTGGTCAAGATGTGTAGGAATGTGGTGTGTGGTGGTCAAGATGTGTAGGAATGTGGTGTGTGGTGGTCAAGATGTGTAGGAATGTGGTGTGTGGTGGTCAAGGTGTGTAGGAATGTGGTGTGGTGGTGGTCAGGATGTGTAGGAATGTGGTGTGGTGGTGTCAGGATGTGTAGGAATGTGGTGTGTGGTGGTCAAGATGTGTAGGAATGTGGTGTGTGGTGGTCAAGGTGTGTAGGAATGTGGTGTGTGGTGGTCAAGATGTGTAGGAATGTGGTGTGTGGTGGTCAAGATTATGTAGGAATGTGGTGTGGTGGTCGTCAGGATGTGTAGGAATGTGGTTGTGGTGGTCGTCAGGATGTGTAGGAATGTGGTGTGGTGGTCGTCAGGATGTGTAGGAATGCGGTGTGGTTGGTCAGGATGTGTAGTATTGTGGTGTGTGGTGGTCAGGATGTGTAGGAATGTGGTGTGTGGTGGTCAGGATGTTTAGGAATGTGGTGTGTGGTGGTCAGGATGTGTAGGAATGTGGTGTGTGGTGGTCAGGATGTGTAGGAATGTGGTGTGTGGTGGTCAGAATGTGTAGGAATGTGGTGTGTGGTGGTCAGGATGTGTAGGAATGTGGTGTGTGGTGGTCAGGATGTGTAGGAATGTGGTGTGTGGTGGTCAGGATGTGTAGGAATGTGGTGTGTGGTGGTCAGAATGTGTAGGAATGTGGTGTGTGGTGGTCAGGATGTGTAGGAATGTGGTGTGTGGTGGTCAGGATGTGTAGGAAATGTGGTGTGGTGGTCAGGATGTGTAGGAATGTGGTGTGTGGTGGTCAGGATGTGTAGGAATGTGGTGTGTGGTGGTCAGGATGTGTAGGAATGTGGTGTGTGGTGGTCAGGATGTGTAGGAATGTGGTGTGTGGTGGTCAGGATGTGTAGGAATGTGGTGTGTGGTGGTCAGGATGTGTAGGAATGTGGTGTGTGGTGGTCAGGATGTGTAGGAATGTGGTGTGTGGTGGTCAGGATGTGTAGGAATGTGGTGTGTGGTGGTCAGGATGTGTAGGAATGTGGTGTGTGGTGGTCAGGATGTGTAGGAATGTGGTGTGTGGGGTCAGGATGTGTAGGAATGTGGTGTGTGGTGGTCTCGATGTGTAGGAATGTGGTGTGTGGTGGTCACGATGTGTAGGAATATGGTGTGTGGTGGTCAGGATGTGTAGGAATGTGGTGTGTGGTGGTCAGGATGTGTAGGAATGTGGTGTGTGGTGGTCAAGATGTGTAGGAATGTGGTGTGTGGTGGTCAGGATGTGTAGGAATGTGGTGTGTGGTGGTCAGGATGTGTAGGAATGTGGTGTGTGGTGGTCAGGATGTGTAGGAATGTGGTGTGTGGTGGTCAGGATGTGTAGGAATGTGGTGTGTGGTGGTCAGGATGTGTAGGAATGTGGTGTGTGGTGGTCAGGATGTGTACGAACATGACCTTCACCTGTACATAGATAGTTCGTGGCCAGAGTTACAAAGGCACTGGCACCAGTGCAATCACTAAAAACAAAATCTAATCTCGCTATTCTACCACAAAAGTGCTATTAGGAAACATAAATCTACACCAAACACAAATAACAATGTTAATTAATCAATTATTAAGAAATAATGCCACTAAAATTTCAAAACTAATTTGTATATATATATATATATATATATATATATATATATATATATTATATATATATATTATATATATATATATATATATATATATATATATATATATATATATAATTAAATTATTCATAAAATAATTGTGTTAGGTCATGCCGATAATTGATAATTCATGCAAAGTATGAATTTAAAGAAGGAATTAGCGACATGCAGATATATATGATGTGTATGATACAGATATGTATGAACGGGTTGTTCATACAGTGTTGCATGCATCCGTATTTAAAGCTAAGAATCATGCGTCTAAATGCGTAAATTCTGTGTATGTTCATACACAGTGTGTACATATCCGCACTGTGCATGCAGTCTTACACTGTGTGCGTATTAGTTACCATTGCGTGTATGTGCGTGTGTGTATGTGTGCGTATGTGTGTGTGTGCGTGTGTGTGTGCGTATGTGTGTGTGTGTGTGTGTGTGTGTGTGTGTGTGTGTGTGTGTGTGTGTGTGTGTGTGTGTGTGTGTGTGTGTGTGCGTATGTGTGTGT